CCTGCGTACTATATAGTGTGTTCTGATTCTGCGGCAGCTTTATCTGCCCTTAGTCACAGGTCATCTGAGACTTGCCCTGATCTAATATTTGAGATTCTATGCTGTCTAAAGCGTATCGATAACTCGGGATCGAGAGTATTATTTGTTTGGATCCCAGGACATGCTGGTATATTGGGGAACGAGGAAGCTGATGTCCTGGCCAAAAAGGCACTTCAGAATGAGAATATAGACCTTGTCGTTACACTGGCGAAGCAGGAATGCCAGTGTCTGTAAACAACATCTGATTAATAAATGGCAAAAAGAATGGGAGGAGGAACAGCGGGGCAGGCACTTTTTTGCCTGTCAGCCGTCAATACAAAATAGCAGGAATGGTGGGTCCAGCTACAGAAGTGACGAAGTGGCCTTAACGAGGTTGCGATTAGGGTGCTGTGGATTTTCTGTGTGTTTATTTAAAATCAGGAAGCACCCCAGTGGCCTCTGCAACTGTGACAGCCCAGGTTTAGCGTTACCGGTAGGATTGGTAGCTTCCCCGTTCCCTTGGGTGCTAACTGGTTCACTTTGCATCTCAGATCCGCGACTGTGTTCACAGTTGACTTAGTGTCCGAAGGCATGATTTCTAACACGAAGCATAATCTGTTTCCAGTCTTTTTGAGCAATATGAACGATAATCAGCACATTTTACCCTCTGGCAGTGGGACCGCAAGTGGGGCCCCCGGATGAGTGAGACAGTTTCACTCTTTCATTTTATATCCAGAGAATGGCCCAAAGTCACTGATTGTTTTAAAGAGGTGCACAATTGTGTTGTTCTGTCTTTGTGATAAAGCATGTGGTCCCCTGTCCCAAGACAAATTTCTACTTTTCTACTTTACTACTTTACTACTCTACTCTATTTTAGACATTGTATGCCTGCTGCGGGTTCTGTCTCCCTGTAGATGAAGGCACATGAAGAGCTATTAGCCACCCCGTGAAGACCTTGGTGGAATGCCTCGGTGGGCTCTGTCAAGGGCTTGTAGGCACTCGTGGCAGGTGCCGGTGGGCTTGGACTGGTGCAGTGGTGTGGAGTCATTAACTCAGCACCATCAAGGTGAGCTGCAGGTGGGATGTCTGGGCAGCTCTGTTCTGTCACTTGGTGCAACAACACTGTCTGTGATTTCTGGGGCTGACTCTGTCCCCAGAAGAACATCATGCAGTGGTATGGTGATTATATTGTTAACTAACTGTGTCGCAATGGTCTGCTTGTAGTCAGTTCTGGAGGACTGCAGGACTGCTGACCCACTGGGACAGTCCAGGGCAAACTGGTCATGCTGGGGACTTGCATTGGCCTTGGGGCTGCACCATTGAAATATTTCCTTCTGCTCTGCTGGGACAGAAAGGTTACTTGCTGCAGCTTGAATCATTGTGAGGTAACACTGAGGATCTGTACTCCAGTTCCATAACTTCTGAGCAGGACCCTGCAGTGTCCACCGCTAGTGGGTCCTGACAGCAGCTGGGCTGCCAGGGAGACCGAGACGTACAGGCTCAATGGGGGTGACAAGATGGGGGTAGTCAGACCCAATGAGGAGCACAGGATGAGCTCTGTCTAGTTCCTGTATCAGCAGACCTCGAAGGTCTACTTTATCATGAGCACATCAACTGGATGTGCTCTGCTAGTCCCAGCTTCTTGGCAGTGAAGGCACCTTTGATGTGGTAGACCTTGTGTGGCTGGGTAGCCAACATAAGGGACACTCCTGCCCTGTGAAGTAACTGAAAGTCTTGCCTCACAGTGCTCAGAGGCAAATCCTTCATTCTATGCATTGACACTATGGAGTGGCAGCAAGTGGCGCCTGTTGCAGGCTGTACAGATTTGGTTTCGCTGCTTTTCCCCTTGTCTTCTTCTTTCAGCAATCTCAAAAATTGACTTCTTTTGTGGCTAACTGCTCCTGGATTCTTGTCGCCATTGCAACAAACTTTGTGCTAACTGCGAGGAAGATATAGGTCAAAAAAGCCGCTAAGAACTGTTGCGTTGGTGGAATAAACAGCGTCTGTGCGTCTTGCGTCTGTGCGTCTGTGGACTGCGTGACAGGCGTACGCAAACCACGTAACGGCAGCGCGCAGGCAAGTCAGTTACGCTAGAAACGTAGGGAGTTTGATTGACAGCCTGTCAGCTAACAGATAACGAGGCAGTGTCGTTATCTATTTTCAAATGTTTAGCTGGCCCCACCACGTCCAGAGTTGATGAATTTTTATTCTCCTTTTTTTGGTCATCATAATTACAAGGCTACTGCACCTCTATAATGCTATCATTGACAATTTGAAACAAAACAAAAAAAAATCCTCCATACAACCTTTAATGTAGCTCTGGTGCTTGACTGTGGTGAGCTGACTAAAGTTACAGTAAAGGCACAGTTATTGAGGGAGTGTTTCCTGTTGTCACAGTAGGGACAGTATTTCTTACCCTTAACCTGGCTGGCAGGGGGTTCAGGCTCGTCGTCTGCTCTTAACAGAATGGTGGTTGGTCTCGCTGCAGGCTTTGTGGGCTTGCTGGGCTCCCACCTGACAGTGTCTTTGCAGGAGCTGAATCTGGCTGTGTCCACCTGCACCTGCATCTCAAACTCCAATCAGACTGACAGGTCATGCAGCATGGGAATGGGCACATCTTCGGGGTGTATGAAACTGCGGAAACCAGCCCGCAGGTCATGGGGCAGCCTCCCCAAGAGCTGCGAGACATGGGAGCCACACTCAAGTTTAACTCTGCCTTTCCTCCCCAGCTGTTGCAGCATGCTGACCAAGGAGCGCACCTTGAGTGCGAAGGTGTGGAATCCTTTAGCTTCTAGCTGTAGGTGGTCACAGAGGATCTGATACTTGAACCCTGGGGAGAAGGTTCTCCAGGGCAATCCTCAGCCTAGCAAATTCGCTTTGATTGGGATGGATGAAGTCTGGAATGGTTGGTGTGGGACCCCTGTACAACCACTCCTGACCATTGACAGGGCTGGCCATCTGGTGTCTGGAATGATGGTGTGGAGGAGAGTTGTACCTAGTCTGGCGCTGATGAGGTTTAGGGGAGGTGGCGCTGTACCTCTCTCTGTAGTGCCCACTGTAGTGAGCAGATGATCTCTCTGGTGAGTAGTAGCTGGTGGAGTTGCAACCGTGGTGTCTCTCAGGTGAACCTCTATACTTGTAGGAGCGCGCTGGACCTCTCTCTCGTGAGTCGTGGCATTCTGGAGAGTGGAGAGTGCACTTACAATAGACTGTTGTGGCCTAGTCAGAGTCAGTAATATGTCATCTGCAAATAAGTTTAGCTTAAATATAAGTTTAAAAACTGCCAGTTATGTTTTCATTAGCCTTTATTACACAGACAAGGGGTTCAGTAGCAAACAGGGAAAAATGGGGATGGGCCATCTTGAAGGGTGAGGATATAAGGCCATTTGTTTTTAGAAAGGCTGCATGGTTATTGTACAGGACTTTAATCCACCATAAACATTTTCCCCCAAACCCAATTTTTTCTAAGATATGAAATAAATCAGACACTCTATTTGGTCAAAGGCCTTTTCAGCATCAACTGAAACGGCAACAGCAAAGTCATTAAGAGTGGCAACCTCTGTGAAAACATGAAACAACCTCAACAACAACAACAAACTTTATTTATAGAGCGCTTTTCATACAAAAAATGCGGCACAAAGTGCTTTACACTGACTAAAAACAATTACACATTTCCTTATTATATTTATTATATTATTCCCATTATATTAGTCAGGGGCGGTTCTAGGGGAAAGGCCACAGAGGCCCTGACCCCATCTCTAATCTGATTGGCCCCTGAAGTGCCGCTGTTCTGTCAATCGACTGACGAATTCAATGATCACTGATGCAATTCCATCCCAAACTTTTAGCGGCAGTAGGTCAATACAAATTAATGGGAGAAGAAACAGACCTGTGGAGGGCTTTTTTTTACTGTCTATACTTGTATTGCACCATAGACAGTATATACGAGTGGACATAACGCGCTAGCCACCATCTACCAAATCGGATGTGCACTCTTCTGGCTCCTTCTGACTCTGGCTCCAGTTGACTCACATTGGGATCTTGTGGCTCCTCTCTCTGTACCTGCAGCAGTGAGAATCTTCATTGTGGTCTTAAAATGTTCATATTAACCTGCGACACAGGATCCTGAATTTATTTTTATTTTTTTGCTATTTTGTCTGCCAAAAAAATCCTATTCATAACATAGCCTGGCTCCAGATTCACTCCTGTAATTGTTAGCATTGTGAGCTTTATTTGAGTGGTGCTGAATGCTATGGGTGACGTCACGCTCGCTTAGTTCACTTCTTTTACACAGTCTATGATTTGCACTGTACTGAATTAATCATTTGTATGCTTGGTTGTACCCTGTACTTGGCCCCTGAATGTAACATTTGGCCTCTTAATGGCCCCTGTTTCAGAAAAATCGCAGAACCACCACTGCTAATGTAATTAAAGGTGTTGTACCTTTAAATGATTTTGGATAGCTTCAGTTTTACAACTTAGCGTCACTTCCTGTATTTTTGTACATTTCTTCTCACTTTTGTTTCCCACAAATTATCTCTAAAAAAATTATAGTTACTGTCCACCAAACAAAGTCAAAACAGACAGAACACAATGGCATAGAACAGAGCACTTGCCACCACAGAATGTTAAAACATATAGCATATCAGCAAAGACATCAAGTACAAATGATTGCACAGATTCTGGATGGTAACTGACCAATTGAGCTTGCTGTCAAAATATTTATAGGTGCACACCTGCTCAGTACTGACACCGTCAGTGTCACCGACTTGAGACACTTTGTGACCTCTGAACCTTTGGCCTAGATTAGAGGCTCATTGCAATTCACCCAACTTTGGCCTGTATTTTTAGCTTTGCTCCACTCCAGGAGCCTTTAATGTTAGTGTTCTGCACACTCGAGGCGTCGTCTGCCCGTCACTAACAGATCCATGATCACTACTCGCGTGGTCGGCAGCTCCATAAACAAGTCTATTTTACATGTTTGATTTTCATAACATTGCGTGTGGACGTGAGGCGCAGAGACTCCTCCATGGCGGCGCAGAACAACCACGTGACACAGGAAGAGAACATTACAACTATTGTCATGTGGTCTGTGCGCTGCTCGGTCTGAGGACTTTGTGCTGTTCTCAAGTCTTCTCTTGCATTTAAAATTCAGTTTCATTCACTCGTACTACGGTGCGTAACAAGATACACCCGTTACCGCACCGAAGGGACTGGAAGCAGCAAGCGTTGTGTCGTTGTGGGGGCGGAGTTTGGAGCTTCATGTAAACACTCGCACACAGCCACGCAGTAAACAGAACTTAGACCAGTGCAACCATCTCTGCAGCTGAAGAAACTCTCGACATGGAGACGCCCGGGGCACCCGTAGTGGCCAAACGGTAAGAGCATGTGGCGCTCGGGGGCTCAAGGACCGGTCTATGTTCTGTAGTTTTGCAGTCCTGTTCTGAATGGGCTCCTTGAAAGTTTGAAATAGATTCACTTTATTGCGAAGTGGGGAAATCGTGCGTGCATAAGTGCATGGGTTCAAAAACTTTTGGGTAAGCAGCTCACAGTCACTGCTGCGTGGAGTTCTTACCATATCTTGCAAGGGGCTCGGGCTGGAGTGAGAACGCTGGAGACTGTGGTAGATCAAGTATGGTAGCCGGGGGGTGCTTTAAGAAGCACACCTCGACATAGAAGCGGGGGTTGGGGCCCGCAATGGTACATTCCGCTGGCACAACCTCCTCTTTTCCACTGTTGTTTATATTTTTGTTCATTTAAATGCACGCATATTGCACATTGGAGTTGCATACATTGAGCTCACAAGGCAAGTTTACTGACTGCTCAGATTCATATGGCTTAATTTTGTGCGTACACTGCAGCAGTGAAATGTGTGGCGGCGCGCCCTGTCACTACGGACGGGCTGACGGAGTACCGGTTGTTGTTGAGGACAAGCTGTTCAGTAGGTCATCACCTCCGCGCACGGCTGAGTCACGCGCTCAGACAATAATAGAGTCAGCAGAACACACTGTTCTGCGCGTGCATGTGCGCTTTTTTGTTCCTTTTATAGCGCCTATCGCGCGCACAAGAACCACTAGAAGATGGGTGGTTCTGTTCCACCTAAGTGCCACTTTTATTATGACTATTATGACCCAGTACTATTGCTTCACATATATATATTGTTTTTTAGAAAGAAATATTTGATGGAATGGAAAATAAGAGAAAAACAACAGTAACTATTTTAATGTGAATTGAACTGTATGTGAATTTATTTTGATAATAGAGTACAGTATCCTCCCCTGAATGGTTATGCTAATAAGACCCCACACTCAGTGCAGTTCAATAGGCCTAGCTAGCTAACAAACTGTAAACAAATGTGTGTGTTAGTTTCAGAGTAGTTAGCTCCTCCCTGCAGACAGATGTAAGGAAGTGTCCACGAGCGTCTGACCAGAACTGAAGCTTGGATGAGCTGCGAAATATATTCGACCAAATAAACTTTTGTCCAGTTGACAAACTGAATTTCTCTTTGCCATGGATTCTACCTGGACGACTGAGGGATTTTTTCACATATCCTAGAAATATTACCATGTTACCATTATATCTGTGTAAACCCTCAGTGGTCCAGGTAGGTTCCATAGTGTCCATGGGTGTATACTAGTCTGTGTGCTGTTATACTTGTTCTGATACAGCTCAGCATAATTCTAAAGCTATTCAGGAAAGGTTCATTTCCATCCTGTGAATGGGACCTTTTAGTATCGATGCCTGCTGAACTGTGTGTGTTATGTTCAGGAGCAACTCTGAGCAGAGGAAGCTGCGCTCTCGTGATGCAGCACGGTGCAGACGAAGCCAGGAGACTGAAGTGTTCTACGAGCTGGCCCATGTGCTGCCCCTGCCTCGTCGTGTTTCCACACACCTAGACAAGGCCGCCATCATGAGGGTCACACTGAGCTATCTGCGACTGCGCCACCTCCTGACAACTGGTATACAACTCATGCTGAGCAGTTCTCACAAGTGTCCAGCAGTAATTTGCCATTACAGAATTCATAGTAATAGCAAATAGAATACTTTGCAGCTTCAGATGTAAGGTTCAGTGGTAAAACCAAACAGTGAGAAGGCTCTTGAGATAGATTAGCAAGTCTCTATCTTTTAGCCCCAGGGCAGCTGTGACTATCATACTAGCTTAACTACAGAGTGTGGGGAGTTAATTAAAAATGCAGTGTACATTACGTACATAGCATTTTTCATTCATATTGAGTGTCCAAAAAGTTCTATATTGGGCAGATTATATTGAGTAATTGCATGTTTGCCCTGCTAACCTATAGCCAGAGAGCAAAGACAGTTTTTCGTCGCTACTGGGACAGATCTGGGACTCTTACCCATTTGCTGGTTTTCTATGAATTAATAGGTGGTTAAACTGTATGTCTGGTATTGACCAGTGTCTGTTTCACTGTTGGAATTTCTAACTTTATTATTTAACCAAATTTAACATTAGAAATTTAAATCTTCTTAAGCCCTTAGAGGAAATTGCTATTGTGATTTTGGCTTAACAAAAATACACTGAATTGAATTGCTCTGTATGACCCGTGCTCTGGTGCTGTAGAGGCAGAGAACAGCCTGGAAGACCCTATGGACCAGTTCTACTCTCAGGTTCTGGGAGGCTTCATCATGGTCCTGAGTGAGGAAGGAGACATCATCTACCTGAGTGAGAGTGTGAGCGCTCACATCGGGATCACACAGGTATTGCAGTATGGTGTGTTTAAAGGCTGTGTGTGTTATGCTGATGCTGACCTGTGCTGCATGTTCCCCTCAGCTGGAGCTTCTGGGCCAGAATCTGTATGAGTTTGTCCACCCATGTGACCAGGAGGAGCTGAGGGACATGCTGACCACACGCACTGGTGAGCCTCTCTCTGCACATACAAACCACAGCATGCATTAGGTATGCAATAGCAACTCTTTGCTTTGACCCTTGTTTGCATTTCTCGACCCTGACAAGGCACAGCTGTGAAGTGAAAGCCATTTTATGTGAATTCATCAAGAAGCTCATTGAGAGAAGGCCAAAGGTTTGCAAAGGGTGGCTACTTTTGAGATGAATATAAAAAAATATATAACGAAAGTTACATATGCATCTACGGTTCTGAATCCCAGATGACTGCCAGAGGGCGGTGCTGAAAGCCCTGAATGTTTCCTTCGCACATGCGCCGTTCGAGTAGTAATATCAAATGAGTCACACCTGGGATCTAGGATGACACCCCAGAGGTAATGGAGTAACTCGTCAGTATCTCTGGCAGTCATCTGGGATTCATAGAACCTTAGTTACATACATAACTTTCATTCTATTTCATCCCTCCTCACCGCCAGAGCGTGGTGCTGAAAGCACTGAATGAATAATACCATCTATGTCACGTAGAATCCTGAGCACATAACTTACTGAGAAGAGCCCAGAGATTCATGAAGAATCACGCCAAGAAGATGAGGAGAGACCACATTGAAGTTACAGAATCTGGCAAATGTGCTTGGTGAAGACCAAGATGCAGTAGCACATATTGTCTCCAAAGGGACCCCGGTCATAGCTGCCCATGAAGTGAAGGCATCTCAAGTAGAATGGGCCTCACACCAGATGGAGGGTTACGGCCTCCAACACTGTAGGCATGGTGAATGACCTCAACAACCCAGTACCCCAGCAGGTATGAGAAGGTATGTAGGTTTCAGTGTTTGCACCAGGCATAACACCTGCAGCTTGTCCTGCCCTCTCCAAGTAGGGGCTCAAATACAAACTCAAAGGCTTGTTATACTGAGAACGGGACAACACCTTCGGCATAAATTCTATGTTCACCTGAAACATCTGGACTCCACCTGAGACAGGAAGGGCATGCAACTCACAGACCCATTTTGCTGACACAATAGCTAATTATAATGTAGTCTTTCACAAAAGCCACTTGAGGTCCACCTCTGCCAAAGGCTCAAATGGAATGCCACACAGAGACTAATGACAGAGACTTATCATTGCATATTGCACTATTGAGCTGTTATACTGCACCGCAGGAGAAATTCCCTAACAGCGACAGCCCTACTAAGAACATGTTTTCCTCTTAGGTATGACCATAGACTGTATATAAAAGTTGACTAAGCGAGTGTGATGTCACCCATAGCATTCAGCGCCACTCAAATGAGGCTCACAGTGCTTGCTGTTACAGAAGCAATTATGGAGCCATGCCCTATATTATGAATAGTATTTTTTTTTATGGACAAAATAGCGGAAAAAACACCAGCATCATGTAGAGTGGGTTAATACAATACATTTTGAGAGCAAAATGACGAGGCAGCAGTTACAGAGAGAGGAGCCACAATATTCCAATGTAAGTCAATGGGAGCCCGGGGCCAGTAGGAGCTGGAAGGGCCGCATGTGTACTTCCTATTTGGAACACAGCTAGCACATTAGCTATGGCCATTTGTATACAGTCTGTTATTTTCATCTTGACCCAGCCCAAACAAAAAACTGCCCTGGTTCTACAGGCACTCTGCGGAGGCTGCAGCATGCCTCTGTCAGGGGAAATTGCGGGAAGCAAATAAGCCGCCGAGCCTGAATCAGAAAAGACATAACACATCCAAGCTCCCTTGTCATCAAAGCAAAATCCTGCAGTGAATCCGGCCATCTAACAAGAGAAAGCATTTGGATCCCTCCAACAGGCTTGCAACTCTCTGAGATACTCCAAGAGGGGGGTACAGAAAAGGACGTAGAAGCACACACATGTCTATAGAAAGCACTACCAAGGGCAAGCTGTTCAGCCTTTGGAAGTTCCAGCTGCAAACGATCCAGAGCTCTCGCACAAAATCTCACATGGAGCTATTGACTGAATCACTACCAAGGTTTAGTGTGGAAGAATATGAACCATTGTCAGAAACATGCAAGGACATGGCATCCTCCTCATCTCGAAAATGAAAGGCAGATGCCAGTAGAAGAGCGCATCATCCTCCGGGGAAGACGTCTCGTCCTCTGAAGCTGAGAGATTTGGGAGATGGAAGTTCGCCACCACCTGTGAAGTTTAGCTGTGCCATCATTGCCACCCTGACAGCAAGTGGCATGTAACTGAAGTTCATGATGGACTATCCAGCAATGCCTCCTTCAAGAGGTCAGGGCCGAGGCATGCTGAATATAAGGTGTGGATCCACAGGCCACACAACAGTGAGAGCTGTCCATCAATCTGGTGTGATCAGCAGAACACAATCAGTATAAATGGGGCAAAAACTAGATAGACATTGGTCAATTGGCAAGCATAGAAACCAAGGTGGGAGAGGGGGCAGGAACACAGCCGTCACTGACCCAAGTACAAATACACAATATGAGAACACTTGCTACTTATGACAGGTAGTATCAGGCCTGCAAAAAAGGGAATCAAAACAGACCAAAAAATCCACCAACACAGCCGACACACTCAGCGATAGATGGAATGCACTGACCTGACGGTATAAATAATATTTATAACAAAGAAATGAGAAACGCACACAGATGACGGAGGACTATATTACCTTTGGGGCGTCATCCTGGGTCACAAGTGTGACTCAATTGGTATTACTACTCAAACTGCGCATGTGGGAAGGGAACATTGTGCTTACAGCAACGCCCTCTGGCGAGTTGTTATTTAATTTAAAAAATTTACTACATAATTCCATATATATTGCATCATGTATTTGTTTTCTTCAGTGTGTACATAAAATGTAGAAAGTTGGATACGCAAAGAAAAAAAAACACTGAACGAGATGGTGCGTCCAAACTTTTGACTGGTAGTGTACATGTATCTGAGTATTTGAGTACTGAGTCCCTGTCTTTTTAATGTGCAGGGGTGAGCAGGAAACAGGCCGCCACTGACAGGAGCTTTTTCCTGCGTGTCAAGAACACACTGACCAACAGGGGGCGCACTGTTAACCTCAGATCAGCGACCTGGAAGGTATGGGTACAGATGGAAATTGTTGATACTTGGTTGTCACCATGGCAGCTGCGCTTGCGTCAGTCTGCCCCAGGGCAGCTATGGTTACAATAGTAGCTTACCACCACCGGGTCTAAAGTGAATGAATAATGCTGAATAACGCTCTGTAAAAGCATCTTTGTGAAAAGTGCTATATAAATTAAGACTTTCTTGTTAAACAGCACAAATCAGCTCACATTTTTAGTTTAGGTCAGTCAGTTCTTGTGTTAAAACAAAGCTCAGATTAAAGGCTAACTTGAGTAGCAGGGCACAGCTAACATTTAGCAGCACACCTCAGGGAATGTTGATGACATCAGCTACAAAGTATCAATAAGATGCAGTCTCTCAGAACTTTGTCCAACTGTGTTTCTGTCTTTGACCATGTTTAGGTCCTGCACTGCATCGGACATATGCGCTCACAAGGGGGCAATAGAATTCTGAGCCTCCTGTGTGAGCCCCTTCCTCACCCGTCCAGTGTGGAGTTCCCCCTGGACTCGTCCACCCTTCTGACCAGACACAGCATGGACCTGCACTTCACCCACTGCGAAGGCCGGTGAGCTGCAGACTCCCCACACTGCCCACACCATACTTTGTCCTCTCCCATCTAGGGTTGTCAGAAGTATCAAAAATTATTATAAGCTAGATATTCATTTGAGAAGGTATCCGTGCAAGAAAAATCACATTCACATGACAAAAATGGACCTTTCTTGAATAACTTTAGAATAATCTTGAGGTGTATCAGAACAAGAATAAGAGCACATAGACTAGTATTCACTCATGGACCTCATCTGTCCACTCTGCCCACTCCCATGCCTCTGTCTACTGCTATATCCTGCAGGGTGCTGGAGCTGCTCGGGTATGAGCCGTACCAGCTGATTGGCTGCTCAGCGTACCACTTCTACCATGCACTGGATTTTGACCACATCAACAGCAGCCTGCAAATATGTAAGTCCAGCCACACTGCAAGAAGAGTGAGCCCTGTGTGACCTGTAGCCTGGATACATAAATAGACATGTAACTTGCTAACCAGTGGTGTTCCACATATGAAGTCAGCATGGGCACAATTCTCTGTGTAACTGCTGCTATGTCGTCATTTTGGTCTTAAAATGTTCATATTAACCTGCTCTGCGTGATCCTGGTTTTTATTTCGCTATTTTGTCTGTAAATCAAGACATAAACATTAAGAACAGAAGAAACATGTGCTTTCTTTCTTCAAGGTCACTCCCACTAGTGTTAGCAACAGGTTTGATTGACAGCGCTGCTAAGCACGTGCACTTCTAGTTTAGCAGGTGGAAAGGGAAAGCCTCGTTCCAAATTGGCTTTTTGGTTGCTCTGATATTCACGGTAGGAACTCCAAATTTGGAACTTGACTCCAAATTTGCCTCTATAATCTGTTTGGCTTTATTTGGCTGAAGCTGGGTGATGTCACACTCCCTTAATCTACTTCTCTATACTGTTAATGGTGTGAGCCCCCTGTGACCTCTCTCCACAGTGCTGTCTAAAGGCCAAGTCAGGACCAAGCAGTACCGCTTTTTGGCAAACAATGGGGGCTTTGTTTGGATTGAGACCCAGGCCACAGTTCTGTACAGCCGGAGCGGTCAGCCAGAAGCCATTGTATGCCTCAACTTCATCCTTAGGTCTGCTCTACCTCCTCAAACAGCTCTGATTCCTGTACAGTGTGACCCCTGACCTCTTACCTTTGTGTGTACAGTGCCATCGAGCAGGCCCATGTGCTGCTCTCAGTGGAGCAGAGGCAGTGTGAAGACTTGAAAAAAGAGCCTCAATCTCCAACCCCACAGGAGAATGCACACACCAATACAGAGTCACCAGCAGAGCCCTGCAGCCCTGGGCCTGCTCTCTGCCCAGGTAACATGGTCCCAACTCCACAGACCTTATGCTCCTTATGGGGGCCATTTGGTTTACAGGCAGGCTCTGAAGGATGTTCATGTTTTTGTCCCACAGGCCTCACCAAACTGTCATTCTCCAGTCCAAAACCAAACAGTGAGCCCACAGCTCCCCAGGACCTGTGTAGCCCTGCACTGAGGCAGCTCCTGTCTCCTATTTTCAACATGTCACCCTCCTCACCTGTCTCCTCCTCCCAAGCCCCATCCCCTAAACCAGAAGTGGCTCTGGTGAGTAGAGGACACCTGTCTGCCCTGCTTTCTAACCTGTGGCTAACCTGTGGCTAACCTGTGGCTAACCTGTGGCTAACATGTGGCTAACCTGTGTGCCTTCAGAGTCAAGAGCAGCCCATGGACACTAGCGGGGTGGAACGCTTCTTTGCCATGTGGCCTGATGCACAGAAGGACCAAGGCCACACTCTACTGGTGAACATTTGTAACTGCACTGTGACGTTGTATTTTGTGAAAAGCCAGGTTTCTGGTGTGAGCTAACATCTGCACCTCTGTATGCAGCAGATGGATGATATGGACTTGGACATGCTGGCTCCATACATCTCTATGGACGATGACTTCCAGCTTTGCGGCCTGAGTGTACCAGAGGAGACTGAGGCCCCAGGCCCTTCAGCACTGGGCTCCAGAAGTAGGAAAAGGTAAGCCTGTCAAGGTTTGAATGACAGTGAGTTTTTAAATTTTATTTAATTTGCAAAATACAGCAACAAGTACACAGACATTAGACAGGACAGGACAATACACTAAGTACAATTTGGGACAAGACAAATGCATACAATGCCATAGCAGACGATGTGTAAAGTATGTGTGTGTGGTTGTGTGTATATAAGTGCAAGAGTATGTATGTGAGAGTGTGAGGTTTCCGAGTCAGTAAATATAAATGACTAATTGTGTATAGTAAAGCATAGATTCTACAGTATATTGGAGGGATCAAATCTTCTTTGACAATAATGACAACTATGGAAATAACAGTATATATACCAGTCTATACAGCTACAAGTAAGAAGAGGCGGAGGAACCTAGTTATATTTGTTGAGTTGTTCAGATTGGTGTTTAAGCCTCTGGAATCCCCATGGAATTATGTTTTAGGTATGTGAGATAATATCATTTCTAGGGAGAAGGGGAAAAAAACTTGAAGTTTGTGTTTCGGTAGTTTGTATAAATACCATGAGTGGTTTCCAGAGTGGGGTTCTATCAATGATTGATTATTGATATTTTGGAGAAATTCTATTGAGATATGCATAGGTTTTTCCAATGTGTAATGTTTATGCATTTACTGTTTTTTTAATGTTGAGTTGAGAAATGTTTCAGAGTAAGCGTAATGGGATGTGACTTCCATGAACGCAGACAGAGGTTTTGGAACCTTTTTCCAGCACAGGCGGGTGTGTAGTGCCAGAGGGCATGAATGTAAGTGTCAGATGTGTTCTGTGGACAGTTACTACATGTGTCTGCTGAAATGGATATTCTGGTTAACCTGAGTCCAGAAGCAGGCTTTGGGAGTGACTGATAAATCTTGCTTCCATTTGTGTGGTTTGTCTGACAGTGAAATTAATCTCTACATTTTTTTTTAGAAATTTTTTAGTTGAGGTAATATTAATTAATTCTGACACCAGTGGAGGAAGTTGTAGATTGATAGAGATACTCTTATGGGCAGAATTGATTTCTGATTTAACTTTGCTCCTAATGCCACACTTTTGGACCAGTCAGAAATGAAATGAGTTAATTGTTGCAGAAAATGTCCATGTGTTGAAATGTGTAGTCATTTTATTGCTGGTGAAATCCAGGTTATTTCATAGTGGTGTGAAACCAGATAGTGCTAAATTAGAGTTAGCCTGGTGGAAAGTGACAAAGTCACTGTCAGAGTATTGTTATTGTACTGTAAATATTGTTAAAGATTTGAAACAGGTTTGCCTTTTTTGTGATTGACTGCTGATAAAGGTAGGTCTGAGATTGAGTGTTACATGCCACGGGAGCCTAGGGGGTGGCACGGTAACTGAAAAAGATGTTAAAATGAACCGGGTGTGGAACAAAACGGGAAGCGTGGTGAGGTGAAAAAAAAAGAATGATGTTTATTACAAAAACGTAAATCGAGATAACACAAAAATGAACAACTAAAGATCGCTGCAGCAGAGAACCCACTCGTCGCACTTCTCGGGTTGGCTCCGGCTTTTATACCCCCGCTGATCAGCGGGGCGGATCCGGGGTGGGTGGATCTGAGGTGGGGCGAGGCAAGGAAAAAAACGAGGACGGCATCCGTCACATTGAGGTATTCATGCACAAAAACTGCTCTGTCTAGCCAGATGTTGCCTGATGGTTTTGGGTGGATCCATTTGATCATGTATTGTAATTATGTATTGATATAAATTTGAAGCTGTGAGCCCTCCTTGGTCTTTGGGTCTTTAAAACTTAAATCATTTTAACTGCTTATTCTGCCAAAGAGTGTAAGAGGTATATTAATCCAACAGAGAAGGTTGTCAGTTACTAGTTTGTACAGACAGGGATAGGGAGTGTATGGGCAGTCATATCTCCAATGTTGCTTTGTAGAGAGAGGATTGAGGATTTGTGCCAGTTGACAGAGTAGTCTGATAGTTTGGAGAAAGAATCTATGACCTTATCTTGTAGTGATGAAAGTGGGCTTTGTAGGTAGAGTAAATTCATCGTCAGCATAGAGACTGATTTTATGGAGAGCTTTTGGAGTTTGTATACCTCAAACAAAGCCTTCCCCGAAGCCAAACTTGTGTAAAGCCAACAGTGACAGTGAGTTTAATACTGTTCTGTATTTCAGAGTCTTCAGTGTGGATGCTGAAGAGTGCCCTGACAAGAGGCACAAGGGGCCCCTGTCCATGGAGGAGAAGCAGCTGCAGAGCCATGGTTTACTGGTGAGCGCTGCAACATGCTTCATTCACAAACATATCATTTCAACTCTAGAATTTGATTAGTCCTAAATGTGCCTTGGATTTGGTGGTCCTTAGGGCTGCCTGGAGGAGAATAACCAATCAGGGCGTGGTTGGAACCAATTGCTTACAGACAAAGACCCAGTGCTCGGGGGAGTCCAGAGCGAGCACACAGGTACAAGGCCCTTCCAGCAGCGCAAGGATGTGATAGGGACGTGATGCTAACCTTGTGTTGCTGCTTGTGTTCCAGCGCTGATGGCAGAGCTCTTCCTCAGTAGCCCTCCTGACCTGTCCCCACCCCTGTCGCCCATGACATGATCTCTGACGTCTGGTCATGTGACTTGGCAGACACCGGAACGCACAAAAGTTTCCATTTCCCAGGGCATTCTGGGAGGCAGCTAACCTGCACATACAGAGAACAGGATGCCTTCGAGCCTGCAAGCCTGAGAGGGGTGGAGCTACACAGTGGCATAAAGCATTTTTATAAGCATGTTTTTAGTCACTTTTCTATATATATATATATATTTTTTTTTTTCATCAATGTTCAATTTTAATATTATAGACGGTGCTTTTGGACATCATTTTCCACATACATTATTTATGATTATTATGATGTTAAATGTTTAGAGCTTGACCTGGGAGACATATGCCTCCTTCACTGCGGTGCTAAATTGTGTAAACCAGACCTGTGTGCATATGTGTGTCTGTGGCTTTGATACTCAAAGTAAAAATAAGTAAAATGAGTGGTCCATCTCACAGAAAATACTTAAAATCATTCACTGTATTCATGAAGCCTAATAAATCTTTTGGGCAGCTTTTTAATGTGTGCTGTTAAATTGGTGTGAATAAATAACAAATGAAACTATCTGATAAAGGCATTAGGAACGAAAACCATAAATACAAAAAAAAGTGATTGTGATTAAAAAATGAATCATATTTACATACACACAACACGTATATGTAAATGTGATTCATTTTAATCATAATTTGAGGTTTTTAGTAACATTTAACAGTTTTCTTTTGCTTTCTTTCCTAATGCCTTTATCAAACAGTAATATGTTACATCCACACACACGTGTGTGCGTGTCTGTATATCATGTATACCATGGTTTTCTTATTTCTTTTCATTAATATTCATATTATAGACCCCTTGTTCTTGAAACCTTATGGATAAGTGTAAATAAATGACACATTGTGTTGTGTGTGATATCTGCAGAAAAAGACAACTATACAATAGAAACTTTACAAAATATGTATTTGCAAAAAGTAACATTTGTCAAATTTGTGAAATAAAAAACATGTTGCAGCCACAGTTTCCACAGCCACTTCTTGTTGCTTCTAGCTTGAGCAGCAGAGTTCAGGAATGTAGTGATGTAGCCATGTAGTGTCCAGTGGGCCGATTATGCACCACAATCTAAAAGAACGGTGTTCAAACGTAGTTGGGCCACGATGTGCTCCACTTCACAGAAGCAGGAGTTTGCTGCCATCAGTGGCTCCCCAAACCTGTACACGTCATTCAGCTTTAGACAGCATACCAAGTCTGGCATCTGTTGCACACTGTGCCTCTTTCTAGAGTAGGAGAAGCACAAGTATTGGTAGTTTTCAGATTACCAATCAAATGTGATGATGTTATACTCCTAGGTGGGGGGAAAGAGCCAGTTTTTCCTATAGATAACATTGTACTTTACCAAGAAATATACAAAAGGTAAATTCACAAATGTTGAACCTGAACATTTCTATTAGTGTCGAGCCACAAGAATTCACTGCATGGCAACAAAAATCTGCATTTTAATAATAAGAATTTTAACTGCCCCCATCTGTATTAATTAACATTGCTCTATAGAATGCTGTAATGTCATCTGAAACTCACCATTTAAAAGAGCAGTAAAATCACTCATAGAGGAGCATAGAACTGTTTAAGAGGAGCTCTACTGTCACTTGGGGTTGTTTAGAGTTCTCTAAAAAGCTCTTTGAGCTTCTAACATGTGCTCACTGCCTAATGTACATCAGAGATTAGAGCTATCACTGATTGTCCGGCATGTTCTCTGCCTGCTTAGTACCACAAACCTATGCCAAGCTGGGTCCTTGTGTGGACAGCTCAGTTTGTGCATGACATCAGTACACAAGCATGTCTTCAGACATGCTCAGTGGGTTCTGGTGCTTCTTCAACACTTTGGAAGTAGCCCTTGTAGACTTTAGGGGGTTTACATAGGCTGGGGTATGCCACAGTTCCACCAGATGGCCACCACATGTACTACCAAAAACATGCGAGGAGCTAAAGGCAGCAGGAGTGTGCAGCTTCATCTCCACTAACAGTGCTTCAAAGGGTTTCACATCTCAACCTAAAACATCATGATCAGAAAATACCACATACAAAAGACATCTCTCACCTGAACAGGCTGTGCAGTGGGGCCACAGTGAAATGTAATACAGGGATGAGAACAGGTCAGAGTGTTTGAGGAAGTATCATGCTGGTGCCCCGTCTGCAACGCCTTAGCCAACACTGATAAATCCAACACTAAGACTTCCATGTTTGGCCCAATGACATGTTAGACCTGCTCTCTAAAACAACTTTAAGTACAATTTATGTTGAAATCTCCAGTGTTTTCCTGCTGTAGTGTCTGGTATGTCCAACAGTGAGTAGCGTTCATTTGACCACAGAGAAGCCAGAGTCTGAAGCCTCCCACGCTCAGTAGTCACTCATGGAAGTGGTTGGGGTGAGATGAGGACAGTGTCAAACGTTACATCAGATGCTTCATACTGGCAAAATTAAAAAATAAAGGCTAAAAGAGTATGTGGTTACTCTGTGATCTTCTCAGTGTTCACGGGGGGGGGGGTTAAACTAAAGTGAAAGATAAAAAACTCTCTCTCGCTCTCCTGTGCACACACACGCGCACACACACCCGAACACATACACACACTCACACACCTTATTGCCAGGTCAGGACTGCACACAGGTTAAAGTGGCTCTACAGTGGGAGCACACAGTTCACTTGATTCGGTTCTGTCTCATGAGGGGTACGATGCAGGAGGGGGGCCCAGCCTTGGACAGAAAAGGGTGTTTGAGGAGTTCACTGGCTGTAGCCCTCTGTGCGGGGTCTCGCACCAGCATCCTGTCCAAGAAGCCCTTCAGGAGGGGGGAGACCTGGAGCACAGAAAGACATTCCACGTCAAATCTCTGAATGCTCCTGCTCGACCATCTCAGATTTGACTGGGAGGTTCACACACTTCCTGATAGGAAAAGTCCCAAATTTTAGCTTCCAACTCCTTATAATTCTGTCATTAAAACATATTTTGTCAACTATCTCTTGACCTGCTTTTGAGCAGAGTTTTCCGAGGAGCCATTTTCAGATTGCTGTATCTAAAAAACTATTTAAGGTAAGTCCTTCAAATTTTCAAGGGTTAAAATTTGCCAAATGTACTTGTAGAATCTGGACTTTTACACATGTGCTTTTGGTTTATCACAGATTTCTGGGGGCTTGAATTCGCTTGAAAATTCTACTCTTCAAATATCAGGGCATCTTTGAAGGAAGGTGGAAAGTGCGATTTCAAAGACATGTTTGATATTGAACATACACCTTCCCACACATGCCACTGTGGACTTTGTATTCTAAAACTGACCCTCTGTGATGAACGCTCTAGAAGATATTACTGTTAAAAATGGAAAAAATAAATTTGGTGCCATCTTTACCATGTTGTAACAAAAAATAAATAAATTACAGCACCCACCAACATAAAATGGACTGTTTTAGAAAGACTAGATGTTTGTTTTTAACATATCTAAAATGTGTGATGGTGTTCTGCCTTATTTTTGCAAAATGAATTTTTGGAAATCTTGTTTTTGCATACATTCATTCTTCATAAACTACACTTGAAGTATAACTTAAATGTAGTCTTAAGATATAGAAATAGAAATGTGTCTGTTACAATCCTGTACAAAGACACAACAAAAAGAGGGAGGCGAGGGGTTATATATTTTTTTTAACTAAATAACTAAAAAAAACATATACAATGTGGTCGGTTAAAGTCAGTCATCAGTAATGTGTGCCTGTTGATGGTCGTGAGATGTTTTGAGTGTGCTGTTGCTGTGTCAAAATCAACCTAAAGATGGCATGAGCATGTGAGTCCATGGCTGATGAGCTGGAAAGTAGATTTGCAAATGCACTAGCAGGTGCCAGGTACCAGTGATAATCACTGTTTCAAGCCAGTCAATACAACAACAACTGAGGTCAGCAGAGTATTTGGAAGTGCTGGATTTTTAGTCAACTATAAGACAAAACATGCAGAAGAAGAGGTTTCACAGGGCTTCCAAAGCAGTGACATGATACCTGGCCAATATGTAACCTGTGTTTATGACCATCACCGGTGGGTGGGACGCATCAGAGAGACATCTGAAGCCCAGTAAGATGTTCAGATACAATTCATGCATCCACGTGACCCAGCAAAAGGTTTCTTCTGGCCCAGGAGAGAAGACTAGTGCTGGGCACCTTTACAATAATAAGAATAATAATGCATCAATTTTATATAGTGCATTTTTGGACACTCAAAGACGCTTTACAGAGCATTAGTCATTCACTCCTGACCCGGTGGTGGTAAGCTACATCTGTAGCCACAGCTGCCCTGGGGCAGACTGACGGAAGGGAGGCTGCCAATCTGCGCCATCAGCCCCTCACTCACACACACACCACGTTCATACTAGGCAATAAGGGTGAAGTATGGTACGGTATGGCCAACACATTATTTCTAAAATAGATGTTCCTAGCACTACAACAGGATGCCTATATACAATTCAGGAGTGTCACACCAGTGTTCAGGAGTGTTTTCTTAGCTTATGAAAGTGCCTTCAGAGCCCATGAATGCTCTGCATGTATGCAAACACCAAATTTTCAAAAATTAATTTTGCAAAAATAAGGCAGAACACCATCACAAATGTTTGATATGTTAAAAACAGCCATCTAGTCTTTCTAAAACAGTCCATTTTATGTTGGTGGGTAATGTCATTTTTTTACATAACATGCTAAAGATGGCACCAAATTTATTTTTTCCATTTTAGCACTTAATATCTTCAAGAGCGTTCATCACAGAGGGTCAGATTTGAATGACCCTACACATCAGCTCACAGTACCACCTCATGAGCAAATATTTCTTCATCCCTGTACAAAAGACTTTATAAAGAGGTGGCCTTATGAAGCTCATCAATATTAGCAGTTATAGTAGAAAATTCAGAGCCAAGTTCCATATTTGGATTTCTGACCATGAGTATTATAGGAACCAAGAGCCAATCCGGAGCAACCTAGTGTTAAATTAGGTTTAAACACAATATTGAAATCCAATTTGAAAGTTTAGTACTAAGAAAATGGACTTGATACTCAATAATGATTCCAATACATGATCATAATAAAAAACATTTTTTGTTTAGAAAATAGTACTTTCTTCTATATTCCCATTCACTCTGTTAGGCTTTGGCTCTATGCAGAATGCAGTCTGTGAGGCCCCTGGAAGCGTGAGTTTAACAGGGTGAAAGGTTTTCTTCTAGGAAAACATGGGCTTGTGCTTTTAAATCCACATTTGATTTATAGTGGTTTTATTATTTTTGCATTTTCTGTTTATAAACTAACTATGGCTCTCTCATCATAAATGACCATCATCATTTAACAGAAACTTGCCACCCCCTTCCTGTTCTGTTTGTGCTCTGGGTCTAACTCTACCTTGCTGTCTCTGTTCTGCTCTCCACTCGGCAGCAAACGTGGAGGCATACTGTGTTTGCCCGTGCCTTAGGTCAGGTGCTCTTCCCTTTTATAACACAGGATGCGACCAGGGCAAATGTACGCCTTGCAAACAGAGCGTCAAAATCACACGCCTGATGCAGCTTTAAGCATTAGGTAAATATATGTACATTATTAGTATTCAGATTCTAGAAATGTGATGATCTCATACTTCCAGATGGGGCTCCAGAGCCAATTTTTTCAATTGATAACATTGCCATGAATTGATACTTTGCCATGAAATATCTAAAATGTTGAACCTGATCATTTCTCTTCGTTACTAGACCCAAGACATTGCTGTACTACAACATAAATCTGCATTTTAAAAATATTAATTTTAGCTGCCACTCCATCTGTATTAAATAAAACTGGTTCACAGAATGCTGTGATGTCATCCGAAATCCAGCAATAGCATAAAACATTTCAGAAAAGGTTAATTTCTGTCCTGTGCATGAGTATCTAGTTTTGATACTAGTTTTAATATCAACAAGAGGTCAAAAGTATTGCTAATCAGATACTAGGGTACAGTGTGGTAGAGGTGAGTACCTTGTGCAGGTTCTTGAGTTTTGGGGGTAGGTTGTCCCGGATCATCTTCATGGCTTTCAAGGGCGGCTCATTAAAGTACGGCGGCTCTCCGTCCACCATCTCAATGACCATGATGCCCAAAGACCAGATGTCCACCTGCACAGGGGGGACACCAGGACTCAGAGGCAGACAGGACAGAGGCAGAGAACCAAGAATAGAGGACCCAGGACAGGGGACACAGGAAAGAGGACACAGGAAAGGGGACCAAGGGCAGGGGACACCGAGCTATATACACAGGGCAGAGGACACAGGATACCCTTGAATGGTGACCTCAGGGAGTGTGATACCTCAGGACCGTAAGGCAGCCGTGAGATGAGCTCTGGGGCCATCCAGTACGGGGTCCCCACCAGAGACTTCCTCCTCTGCACCTCTTTAGAGACCTGAGCACAGAAGCCGAAATCTGACAGCTTCACCTGAAACAGAGCACCTCACATCAGACACCTTTACTACAGTTCCCCCTGAAAATACTAGTGTGTGCCTTTGTTTGGAATGCTCCACACTATCCGTCTCTGCTCTTATCAAGCGACACAGGCATGCTTGACAAGAAGTCCATTCCAGAGGTCCATTTCCCGTTCATTTTCCCTACCGATGTTCTGTATATTAAATGGCTATGTGGTAGCTAAACCTCTAGGTTATTAAAACATTTAGCAGAATCTTAAGTTTTTAACTACATTTTTGGACTCAAAACAACCGCATTTGGATATTAGTTAACATGTAGCTGGTTAGCCACTGCGGTGTCTTTGAAATCTTAATATGCGAACATTTTGAAAAGTCTATTGGAAAAATAAATGGAAAAAAATCAGTTCCAGAGATTGGCAAGTCCAGAGCTGAAATTATTCAAATGATTCTAGTGAAGGTGTATGGAGTTTAAAAACACAGTGGAGCACTTCCTGTATTACCACATGAAATCACAAGGTGGAAAATAGTATTTTCTGTTTGAGAGGAAAATCTAAATATGCAGGGTTTGTGTGAACATGCGTGAATGAAACAAAACACAACTCCAGGTGTGTTTGTGATGATAATACAATATTTTAACCTAGTTCAAAACTTAGCATATTATAGGCCCTTAAAGTAGTAAGGTTGAATTTATGAGTAATAAAAGTGATTTATTTAACCCTCTGCAGCTCAAATCTAAAAAATAACAAAAAGTCCTGCATTGGTACAAAGAAAAAGTACCCATGGTAAAAGCCAACCCTTCAAAATTGTTTTATTTTTCACATACTCGAGTCAATATAGTAATGACTGTGGCAATTGTAGGGCAGAATAATGGGATGAGCTTGTTTTTACTAAGTCAGGCCTTTGTACAGTTTGGTAGTGAGCAGTGGTGCTGTCTCGTACCCGTCCGTCATGGGTGAGCAGGATGGAGTCACTCTTGATGTCGCGGTGGATGACTCCCTGAGTGTGCAACACAGACAGGGCCTTGAGCACAGACACACACACTGTGGCTATCTGCTCCTCGTTCATTCTGGGCACAAAGAGCAAGTCAAGATTTTATTTGTGTGACAACAAAACTAGTATCCACAATTGCATTAAACATTTTCTAACGGACATGAGTGATCTGATGCAAGTACAGGAGTACACTTGTCAAAACGTAGGGTTGTCAAAAGTATAAAAAATCTGATACTAATTAATAATAAAACTAGTATAGAAATAAGATACTCATTTGAGCTGCTGTCAATACTAAAAAGGTCAAATTCAAAATGAGAGACAAAAAATACTTAATAATACTCAATAATAATTATTATGATGTCCATAATGATGCCTGTTGAGCACCCTCTTCTGGCTCACCTAGTGTGTGTCACAATGTCTGTAAGTGCTCCTCCCTCCAGGAACTCCATGACCACCCACAGCTCATCTCCCACCAGGTAGCTGTTGTACATCTCCACCACGTTGTCATGATGATAGTCCCGCATGATCACCACCTGTGCACAGGCACATGTCACATATCAAAGCAATTTGGAGCTCCATCATTACAACAACAGAGGATATAGTAATACCCAGACATACTTCTTCATCGAACAATAGTGACAAACTCAGGGATCACAGAACTAAAACAACTATGAAAAGGCCATATTATCCTTTATTAAACCTCTAAATGTGCAACTACCAAACTACATTTGGGAGCTGTTACTTTCACTTGGCAACTTGAAACTTCTTTCTTTTTATTTTCATGACCAGAAAACTAATGGTGTGTGTGTGTGTGTTATGTGCTAGGGAACATTTGAAAACTTAGGGCCACAGGTATTATGTGTTAGGTCAGTAGGGCTAAGTGATATGACCCTTTGACACCCTGCTGCTCATTTTGTCACATTGTGATGCAGTGCTCCTCTGTATGATGCTGCTTTATCTTTATGCAGTAAAGACTGAACTCTCACAAGAACCAGATTGTTGTTGTTACAAACTGAGGACATGTATTTTAATTCTGAATTTAGATGATGAATTTCTATGTGCGTTACTAATGTTATTAGTCATGAAGGACTTGTGCGTATGCATACATTTGTATAATTCAAAACTACAGGATGTATGAGGCAGGAAATTTATACAGGCAAGTATGCATACATTTTTGTGAATGAGTCAGTAGAACTGCGATGAGATATACCTCATTAAAGAGCAGCTCTCTCCTCTGTTGTTTTCTCAGGTCCATCTTTTTTACAGCTACAAGTTTCCCAGTGGTTTTCACTGTGGCAATGCACACAATGCCTGTGGAGCCCTCCCCAATTTTGATATAGTGGTCCAGGTACGTGCGCGGATCGCCAGGGTCCACTACCATCTGAAGAGCAGCTCTGAACTGCTCATGGGACACCCTCTGGGGCTCTCTCTGAGGGGAGCGGGCCTGGGGAGGGGCCCCTGAGGCCCCAGACTGCACTGGGGGCCTGGGTGCTGGAATGTTGGGGTGAGGAGTGTGCGGGTGCTGCTGAGGTGCCTCTGGGGTGAGAGTGGGGTGGGAGGTGTGGTGAGTGTGGGTTAACGAGGGCTTAGGTGAAACATCGCTGGGTCCTGTGGGGGGGCTGCTGTGAGGGGAACTCTCCTGCTTCCGAACAGGCTGTGAAAGCAACAAAGCACAGACATGTCTGTCATATGATTTGAACGCAAACGTACCGAGTACACACACATAGTCAAATTTTAGAATAGTCTTAGAATCAGTTGGACAGCAGAGCAGACACAAAGTAAAGGGTGTATGGTCTCACCGGGCCTGTGGTACTGCGGCTACCCTCGCTGTCTGCACGTGGGTAGGTGTTAAAGGGCCGTGTGTTCTGCTGGGCAGTCTTCAGATCGCCCTCTGTCATAGGCAAGTTTGAGGTGCGGATGTTGGGGCCAGACAGGGGTCTTTTGTCTCGCGGAGACTGTGGGCTGTCTTCAGAACCTATGTAGCTGGACTGGGGTCTGTGTTCACTGGGCTGATTCTTATGCACCATCTGTTCCTAGGAGAACAGTGCAGAGTCAGTTATAGAACACGTGTCAAAGTATTAGTTAGAAGAACTCATTCATCAGAACCTGGCTGTGCTCCCGATGTTCTCTGTCTCTGTGTGGGACAGGCGGAGGCCCAGTGCCTGGTCTGTTCTTGTGGCCCCTACTAGGCTCTTGGCCCCTGGGCTGCTGTTGAGGGCGCCTCTGGACTTTTTCAGGTGGGACTGCATGCTCTGGTTTGGCTCTTGGTCCCTCTCTAAAAAAAAAAAAAAAAAAAAAAAAAAAAGATGCACACTTATCCTACATTTAACAGGTGGCATTTGTCCCATGAGTGCTGTTGGACACATGTAGGTCTATGTTAAGACGTGAGTGATATTTAAGGTAGGTAGAATGTAGTATCTCCAGTGGTCCGCAAGCTTGGGACTCCTAAAAGGGGGCAGTATGTCTCTCTTTGCACAAAGAAAACAGTCAAGGTGGGCACCGCACCGTACCGTACCAGCCCTGTGGAAATGAGGCTTAGAGAGTGGTACCTGTCTCCTGGGTGGGCGTAGTGTCTGTAGAGATGCTCTCCGTTCTCCTGCTGTTCAGGGAAGTTCCTACGCGGGTGGATAGGTGGGCTTCCTCGCCTCAGAGAATTGGAGCGTGTTATGGACAACTCATCTAATAGCCATGTTAGAGAGCCGTCTGCGCCAATCTTACTGCCTCGAACTATGGTCTAGATGTGAAACAGTAGCTGGTTAGTTTAAAAAATGTCATAGTCTTTGAATTCCAAAACAAGCTAATCAGAATCATCACATCATATATCAAACACCTGTCTTACCTGTGGCTTTCTTAGACAAAGTGTAAATTAATTCTCTCCTATAAATTTGAATTGAATGTATAAATGAATGTTTTCATTCTTATCGCATCCTCTTATTAAAACAATTATCAGCCTTTAATTACATTTGTATAGATGGCATGGTTTATTTGCACAATAACTTCTTTACAAGAAAGTCAGGAGGAAACTTGTTTCATAATAATCCTCACTTTTAAATTTTTTCTAAATCTCAATTATTCAAAATACAAATGAATTTATTTATTTATTTGATTAATTGCCCAGCCCTACGCTGAAGTTATACTTGTGTAGTTCAACAGACCAAGATATCAAACAAAAACTGTAAACAAATAGGTATGTATTTAGCTCCATCCTTCAGATATAAAGCAGTGTCCACTGGCAATCTAACCAGAACTGAAAAAGCAGCTTGGATGACCGTACAAACAACAGAATTTAATTTTTCTTTTGCTATGTAAGCACAAATGTCAACTAATGCTTGTTCTACGGCAGGTATTAAAGAGTTGAACAGTGATGTAATGAGAGAGGAGAGCAGAAGACTTACTTTGTGTGGTTCCACAGTAGTGATGACTGTTGCATCTATGAAGGGCTTGGGGCGTTTGGCTGTGTCTTCGATGAGGGACTGCCACTGGCGTGGCAGCCCCACAAACTTCTGTTCCTGCTGGTCGAAGTCTGTGTGCACGCGGTGCTCAAAGTTAGATGGAGCAGAGATGTCAATCCGGGTCTTCTTCTTCTTGGAAAACATGACTGCATTTGATAGCAGTCCAGCATCAGACCTGCAGGGATAGCACACACATTGGCTTAGAGGTGGAAGATCATCTACTAGTCAAACATTTGGACACACCCTCCCATTCAAGACTTGTTCAGGTTCATTTTAGACTATGGGGGGACCACCACAGTCTGTTGTATTAGTAGGAACATATTCTCTACATTTTAGATGCATACAGAAGATATTTTATTTTAGATTCTAATTCTAAATTATGCCCTTTGTTGTGCTGTCAGCACTGCAAACCCTTGACCTTCGCTCAATAAGTTTCCTGATTAAGTCTCCTTAAATGGTTTTTACATCAGGTGTGCCATGTCATGGTCAAGGAGTGTCCAAAGCAGTGATAAAGCAAAGGGTGAAAACTTTTTTAAAACCTAAAATCTAAAGCTAGTTTAGAGCTATTTTGTTTTATCCATAGTTAAGATGCTTTCAGTGAAAATCTACAATGTAAATAGTTTAATCAAATATACATGGAAGTGTCTAAATGGTTGACTGTAGTGGAGCTGTGGACCAAAATAGTTCGCTTTTATGGTACAAGCATGAAAATTTGCAAGATTAGTAACACCCCCAGGACTAATATTTCTGGATATGAAAACAAGTCTAATTCAACACTGGAGCTGAGAACTGCACACATCACAAAATGGACTACATGAAAACGAGGCTGGCATAAAAACCACTGCATAATCCCTTTCTTCTAGTCTAATTTGCTTAGTTATCCATTTGTAATGCTTAACAACAATTTTTTCTAAACTCCAAAGCATTAAGGAGGTCACGTGACCATTTTCCTTGAGAATGTAAGGGTTGTGTGGGTTCCCTGTGGCTGAAATCTAAGTTAAAACATTATATAATATTTTATGTTTCAAAGCCATATTTATTGGGTTTTTGATAACGAAAAACATTTAACCAACTGTAAAGATCTGTAAGTGCCATATCACATTTCATAATTTATAATAATAATAATAATTTCATAATTAATAATTAAATGCTGCATGGAAGTGAGGCTTAACCCCAAAACACAGCACAGAGATCTACCTTAAATTGTTAAATTTATTCAAAGTGCCCCTAAGTGCAGCTGCCCCCACATTTTCATGAACCTGTACATACCAAATTTCCCTTTGCACACTTGCATTGAACAGCACAGGCTACACTGCATCCACACTTTTTAAGTTCATAGAATGTGTTCTTTGCCTGGAGGAGCCTCATCCACAATGGTACCCACTGACTGCCATCATGCTTCCATCCCGTCTGCAGGGCTGGGGAGATCTGGTGCCTTAAAATACTAAAATACAGTACTTTCAATCTTTCATTGTATGGCATTAAACAGCAGTTTAAGCCTTTTTTTTAATTATTATTATTAGACTTTAAATTCAACATGTGAAACTAAAACATAGTAAATTTGAGGTCTTAATAATGGGTTTATATCTTGATTACAATCCATATCTCACTGCAGTACAGGTGTGAACAGAGCCTCCTCTTTAGATTAGTTTATAGTCTGAACATCTACAGCTCATTCTAGATCGCAATGAAAATACGACACCAGCACAAAACCTGGTCGAATCTCGCCTTAATTTGGTCATAATCCCAAATGACTGTCTCTACAGTTTCAAAGGTGTTCTCAGTCTGGTGTGGGATTACTGGAATGAGCCGTCCACCACCTGCTGGTGTCATTATTGTTATTATGATACTGTGATGTGTTTTAGGGGGGTAAACAAATTTGGTGATGGTTTATTTGTGCCAGATTTAAATCTGTCACTATGACGCCTTAAAAGACAATATAAAATAAGATATTTCTAATCTAACGTTCATTACCTCCACCAAGGAGGTTATGTTTTTGCCGGCGTTTGTTTGTTTGTTTGTCTGTTAGCAACATAACTCAAAAAGTTATGGACCGATTTTGATGAAATTTTCTGGATTTGTTGGAAATGTGAAAAGGAAGAACTGATTTCATCTTGGGGGTGATCCGGAAGAAATCCTGGATTCTGGATCACTTTGAAATTTTAGTTAACATTGTGGTAAATGGGGCCAAAAATTTTGTTTCTCAATATCTGGGTTAATTATTGACCAAACCCCATGAAAATTGACTCAGGGATGGACAATGGGATCCTCTTTCATATTCCAAAGGCTGATCCAGATCTGATCCTGAAGACTGATTCTATCGCAATTTATATAAAAAATGGGGGTAGCCCTTGGCGGAGGTCTGCGCTCTCTGAGTGCTTTTCTAGTTTATTATGGTAAGGATCATTTACACGCAATCTGAATATTAATGCCTAAAGATTTTTTAGGCATTAATTTGTTAGTAGTATTAAAGATGTACTATGTAACTTTCCTGCTGGAAGCGATAATGGCAATGTTATACTGTTCGTCAGTATGGCATTAAACTTGTCTATCTCCATGGAGACAAGCCAGTGGCACAACCAGGCCATGTTTACAGGTCAGATCTATGGAGAGGTGACCCCCACTCATAATAAGAATTCATGTTTATTTCAATGTATTTTTTGAGCAATAAAAACACCCAAAATAAAATTAAGATTATATAAATAGGTTTAATGCTATATATAAATAGGTTTAATGCTATATATAAATAGGTTTATATACTATATACGCTATATACTATATACTATATACGCTATATACTATACACTATTCTCTCTAAAGAGTATACACAAAGCTTTATTTTAACAATTTAATGTAAAGACATAATTGCACAAAACTATAGAGTAACATGTTACTCTTATAAATTGGATTTAAAAAAAAAAAAATTTGTCTAACATATCAGCCCAAAAATAATGGCAGAGCTTATCAGACACCAGTTGCTCTGGTGATCTCCTGTTTTTTGTATTTGGTACAAAATGTATTTTGTATTTCTTCCTGTATTTAATCATCATCAAGAAGAACAATTTCCAAGAAGCACAGAGCAAAGTACAAAAGTTCAAATTAAATAAATGAATACATTTAAAAAGTCCATGAAATACTTTGAAGAAAAACAGCATTTTTTATCATTCATCTGTGCAGTGTGTACAGTTCTATATGAATAAATAACTTGTCTGTTCCAACATCAGCATCAGTGGTCATGCTAGGATAGCCAGCTTCCCAAGTGTGTTGTGTCATTAGTCAAAGCTTGTTGCAGTCCCAAGATCTATAAAAGGTGAGCAGCTTATCAGGTCCTTCCACGGCTCGTGTTTACTTTTTTGTTGTTTTTGCTCATGCATCTGAGAACAGACACATCTGCCAATACTGTGAGGGTGTTCAAGTACAGTCACAAAATTATTCAGATGATTCTAATGAAGGTCTATGGAGTTCAGTGAAACGCTTCGTGTATTACCACATGGCATCACAAGGTGGAATAGAGTGTTTTCTATGTAAAAGAAGAACTCTAAATATGCAGGAATTGTGTGTTAATGGACCTGCATTATGCTATCGGATCTTTGTTATAATGTTCTTTCATCACAAACATATCTGGAGTTGTGTTTTTGTCCTTCACACATGTTTAACAAAAAAAACCTGCAGATTTAGGTTCTTCTTCAGATTTAGAGTTCTTCTCTCAAACAGAAAACACGCTGTTCCACCTTGTGATGTCATGTGGTAATGTGTAAGTGCTCCACTGTGTTTTTAAACTCCTTACACATTTAGTAGAATCATCTCAATCATTTCAGCCCAGAACAGTCTTGTTTGAACTAAACGTAAAAGGAGCAATTACCTTGAAAACTACTACTTCATGACATCACAAGGTGGAACAGAGCATTTTGCGTTTTGGAGGTGTAAACAGACTAATAATAAAAGTTTTTTTTTTTAACATGTGTGAATGAAACAAAACACAACTTCAGGTCTGTTTTTGAGGCGGTAACAGCATTTAGCATGGCTTAAAGCTCAAGTTATATAGGATCTTTAAATATGTGTAAATGAAACAACACAAAAACTATCGTAATATTGGCTCTTTAAACGGTAAAAAGTCTTCATAATGTTGCCAATACCAGGAAGCTGCCCCATCAGAGAACATTTCCCACCACTGTGTCCTCTGTGGCATCTGTGGAATGTTTAATGCGCACACTCTGGCCTACAGTAGCCAACAAGACAAATACATGAGACTCACACGGGTTTCAGTCAATACAATACAAAGGTGCGACACGACACAGGTTTGAGTGGCCCACAAAGAGACAGTGTGTGAACAGGACAAGCCGCACCACACGCGGATCATCTACACGTAGTCTACCGTACGGTTAAAACTACTACGTTTTGTGCCAAATACGAAATCCCCGAAACAAAACGCACCAAGGCAGAGCAGAAGGAATAAAGGCCCACTTTGGGAGCTCTGCCCAAGTTGCACTGTGCCGTTTGGATCGGAGCCTGCCTGAGGATTTATTTCGCAACTTAGGAGGAGTGACATTAAAACACACAATTAGCCGTAGCCCTTTTCGGTTTAAAGAGCGAACCTGATGTTAAGGAATTCATAATTAAGAGCACTGCTAAGTCCGCACACGCCAAACCTGACCAGACCTGAAAAGCGGCTAACTTTAGCCACTTAGCATCTAGTTAAACAGGAATAGAGATTCGTCACAAGCTAGGTCACAACATTCAAAAGTCTCCAAAACTAGCGAGAATATGGCATCTACTTACCCGAAAAAACACAACTGAACTTTAAGCTTCCACTAAGACGTAACGATCCTTGCTTTGTTTCGCGTCCGAGAAGCAAGTAAACTTTAACCAAACTGTGTGACATTAGCCCAAGTATTACTTTAGCGACGCCATGTTGAACCAAGTACTACATCCGGGAAACTGCAGCACAGCGCCATGGCAACGGAGCGACAGCACAGCACTGTCCGGCACCGTGGATGTCCCGCACCGTGGATGTCCCGCTCCGTGGATGTGTCGCGCACGCTGCTTTCGGCACTTTGTGAGGACATCACACGTGGATCAATGTTTGATAATAACAGCTTCTTAACCTTCCATGACATAAACGCTACATTACATTCATTTCAAGGTGATTCAGAAAGTACAGTCACAATTAGAGTTGGGAGATTTATCGAAAATTTTATCATTTTGTTTCAAAATGCAAAAAATACATTAATAGTGTAATTTTCAACTTGCGCCAGTCCTTCTCGCCTGCGGTCACCCAACAGTCTACAGTCCTAGTTCAGTTCTGGTTTAGTCCTGGTTCAGCCCTGGTTTAGTTCTCCTGGTTCAGTCTGGGGATCAGTCCGCCTGTGTCGCGCCTCCCCAGTGGCTCTTTGGAGGCGCTTCTCACCTCTTGAAATCCGCTGCCCCACTTCAATAGTCCTACATTTTTAAACTGTTTTGAAGAGTAGCCTATATATATATATATTTTTTTTTTATGATAATTTGACTTTTATTTTTTGCTCTTGTATCTGTAATTAAAGGGTAAAGGCGTGCAACTTTTTGGTGAGGAGTGTGCTATGTTCTTGTCTTCATGGAGATGTGATTGTTTGCCTGGAATGTACCACAGCATGGCACTGAAGTTGGCTATCTTGTATTTGTTTAATTACAAGTGTAAAATAGCTCAAAAATGCACATTCTGACTGTGAGCACACCCCTTCACAGATCAGACCTCTAATTTGGCTTGGTGACATAGATAAGTTTAACATCATTGTGGAACATTCCAGACGAAGCATTACCCCTATGGAGACAAACAGGTTTCACTTTCATTTCTGATGATTTACTCTCCCCTCCCATTGCCCCTTATGTTAAGTCACTCCCCTTCAGATGCTATCACAACACAATCAGCACAATCTCACTAAGGAAACTACAGCACATCGCATCAGGTTTGTCAAGTTGCTGTGTACAATTTTGTATCATGTTTTTGTATATTTATGGAGAATTGTCATGTGGGAGCATGAGTGACGTAGGCTTGTGGGTGGAGCATTGTACAGAATCTTACCGCTAACCATAAGGAGGGTCTGAATAGCTCACTGGAGAGATCACTACATTACTCAAACATGCCCGGATGACATCTAAATATTCTTCAGGCATGTTTTTGATGAGGGAACAATGTTATAACATGGTAGAAAGATTCAGCATAATCCCCCTTGATTGGAAATGACACAGGCGTCTCCCAGAAGATAATAAGATGATGTACAAGAGGCAGCACTGTGGGAAAAAATTCTCAGCTTTTATTTACATTTGAACAAAAAGTGTCATGTTCCAGAATTATCGATAATCTTTAGCGGTGAGCTCCAAAGCTTTCAGATTGTAGGATCTTCTTGCCATCACCCTGATCTTTAGCTCCCTCCACAGATTCTCAGTTGGATTCCATTCAGGACTCTGGCTGGGCCACTGCAAAACGGTAATGTTAATAATAATTAATAACCATTTCTTCACCACTTTTGCAGTGTGTTTTGGATCATTGTCATGCTGAAATGTCCACTGGTGCCCAAGTCCAAGTTCCTCTGCAGGCTGCTTGATGTTGTTGTTGAGAATCTTGATCTGTTGCTCTTTGTTCATGGTGCTGTTTACTGTGATTCACTGGCTGAAAAAACATCTCCAAAGCATTAGGTTCCCACCATCATGTTTGACAGTGGGATGTTGTTCTTAGGGTTGAAGGCTTCTCCTGTTTTACACCAAATCATCAATACATCATTGTGGCCAAACAGTTCCATTTTTGTTTGGTCTGACCATAAAACAAAAGTCTTCTTCTTTGTCCAGATGAGCATTTGCAAAGGCTAAACGGGCTTTTGTGTGTCTTATCTGGAGAAGTGGCATCCTTCTTGGTCTGCATCTGTGGAACCCAGCAGTATGTAGTGTCTGTTGGATTGTCTGTCTTGAGATGTTCCACCAGCAGAGCCCAGATTCACCTGGATGGCCTTGGTGGTGATCTGTGATTCTTTTTCACCTCTATCACTAAACTCCTGGCCAGCACAGTGTGGAACGTCTTGTATTTTGTAATAATTCTTTGCACTGTAGCCACTGGAACTTGAAAACATTTAGATATGACCTTACAGCCCTTTCCTGACTTATGAGAAGCCACAACACTCAGCCGTAGATCCTCAAAGAGCTCCTTTGTCTTAGCCATGACTGTTGTTTGAAACAGCTCTTCCCAATGAATCAGGGGAATTAGGAAGTTTTAGAACAGTTTGTGTTGTTTGGAATGGTATAGAACTTTGGATTTTTCCATAGACTCTGACAGTTTACAAAGGGTATGAATAATTCTGGACAGGCCACTTTTTGTTCAAATGTAAATAAAAGCTGAGAATTTTTTATTTTTTTCCACAATGATGCCTCTAGTACATCGTCTTATTTTCTTCTGGGAGACGCCTGTATCATGTATGTATATTATACATACATACATACATACATACCGACATACATACATACATACATATACATATATATACATATATATATATATATATATATATATATATATATATATACCTCACAGTGAGGTCAAGGTTACTAGTTATCATCTATGACCATACGGTCTATGTTTATGACACCTGTGGATCATTATTTTAGACTTTGTATATTTTAAATCTCAATATTGATCTACAATGACTTAATAAAAGAAACAATTCCGCTCACTTCTGCGTTAGAAAACCTGTGATGACCAGCAGGAGCTGACTTTAGCTGAACATCAAACTTGTGAGCTGCAGATTTTTCTTTCATTTGTACGAAAATGACTACGCGACGCTGCCAAATTCCACGCATACCACCACTTAAGAAAATAAAATTAGAGTATGAAGTAAGTAGAGAGCAGTGGGCTTGTGCCGGTGGTGGTGAAAACAGGAGTTGATAGGCAAAATGATGTCTTGAAAACAAGCGATTAAAGATTGCTCAAACATGCACAGAGTAGAAGCAAGTAGATGGAAAATATGAACCTGGCCCCTCCCTCCTCCCCTGGCCTATGTTCAGGCTCATCTATGCTTTCTGGTCTTCACATTAAATCAGTAACATAGACAGTATCTCATGGTGTTATGTGAGAGTAAAACAGGGGCGGACTCTCTGAAATGGCAGCTTTAATGAAAGATCAAACCTTTCTCTTCTCTTAGAAACATGGGAACATAAATGGAGTAAAAGGTTGATTAAGAAGAGAGAGAAAACCTCTCCTGTCCCTGTTGCCACTAATCACCCCAAGACCCCAAACCTGATGTGTGGTGCAAGCAAGAACACTATACAGCCATGACAACACAGTGGAGGAAATGCATAGTTTATCAGAACAGAACAGTCTGTGGCATCAACAACCTCAGTGAACAAACTGCAAGTTTTTTTCTTCTCTAGTATTATTTTTACAAAAACAGATAACCTATTCTGATTTGGAGACTGAAACTAACAAGTCAAGGAGCATACAAGACAGTCCTTACAGAAGGAAATTCTGTTGGGAAGCAAGATAGCTCTCTCTTTTGCACTGAGCCATGTCAAATTTGGCCTATACTACTAATGGCTCACTGCGAACAAACTGGAGGAAGCATGCATCTGTGCGCAGCCCTGAGGACCGGAGCCTGGTACAGGTTAGTTCAGTTTGACTCAAATTTCACCTTAGTGTGGTGCTGCTGCCAAGTCTCAAAAGTGTGTGGGATTAGAAGAGAAATGGAGACAGAAGGCATCCTGAGCAGAACCAGACTCCTCATTGGGACATTCCCGATGCATAGTGCGCGCCGCGCTCCTCTTCCCAGAGTACACGAGTGAAGGGGACACAGGTCGTGTGAAATAGCACTAAACTCACTCCAGCTTCTGCGGGCACGCGTTCGTGGTGTTGTTGTGCGTGTCCGAAGGCTTCCAAAAAAATATATAATAAATGACCAAGACGAACGCAGCTACGGAAACGCACATAAAATACGCCACGGCCATGGCCACTTTGACCCAGATGCGCGTGGACCTCCGGGCTTGTTTGTCCCGTAGCTCACCGGGGTAACTCGGCCTGCGCCTCATGTCCCCTCCATTGAGCTTGAGCTGCTCCCCACAGCTGGACGCTTTCATCGCGCTCAAGTCTCGGGGCTGCTGGATCCCCTATGGAAGTCTGCAGCGGCACCATAGAGCCCAGAGCGGACCAGAACAGCCCAGAGTTTTAACTTGTCTAGGAGCAGCCTTCTGTGTGCCGTGGAGATGCAGCGGAGAGGAGGTAGGCGACTGTCACTGCGCACCGGACAAGGGAAAACTCCAGCGGCTCCGGCAACAGCTGCACGGCACGGGACTCTAGTCAAGCAAACACTACTACACAAGCGCTTCCGCCTCTGTCCTTCAAAATAAAACCAAACGAAACGGCAACGGTTTTGTTGATATAGCCCAGTTAAAAGCTTATATTGCCTAGAAATGTTTGGCAATAATAATACGCGCTTACATCCTGAGCTGCGTGAAAAGACCGACGCCTGTCTCCGTGGAGCAGTACTCTAATGACCTTCAGAGCCCACAAGGACTGCCTCTGTCGTGTCAGAGCTGCGCGCACTTCCTGTCCGTTCCACTTTTGCTCGTTTTGACGCATATTGGCACGAGGAGGGGCCGCGCTCTGACTCGGGCACAGTTGGAGCAAACATGTCCCTCTGCAGCTGCTCACCGAGACTGAAACCGGCGTCTTCCCCAGAACCACTCCGTGAAAGCATGTGGCAAGCTGCAGAGAGGGGGATGCTCAGAGGAGACCAGAGGACACCAGAGGAACAACGACATTGTGGTCAAAGACCCAACCAAAGCTTTATTGTGCTTCTTGTACGGAACAGTCCTGAGCAGTGTCACCAGGGGTTACGCTAAACATGATTAACATTACATAACTGAGAAGCCAAACTCAGTGAAATGACACAAAGACCTACAGAAGTCACATAAGTCATTCAACGTTCAAATGAGTTCATGACAGATGCCGGTGCCAGTCTGAGTCAGTACAGATTTATTTCATTTCACTCATGGGCAGCATGGTTAAAATCTTTATGTTCAGATAGAAAAACATGATTAATTTCATTTTCATTTCTTTGCATATGGTCTGTGACATTCACAAGGCAGTGTGTACAAGAATGGGAGTAAATAAAAACACTGTACATGATTGACAAATTCCACTTCCCCTAGTGAATAAACATATAACAAAACTGCAGCTCCAATGAATAAGTCGTGTGAGGAAGGTTTTGCTCACCACTCCAAAAACAGAAGGGGCCCCTGTTAATGTGGACACTTGCCCCCGGTTACGTTTATGCTCAAAGATGCACAGAATTTTCTGTCCAATCACATGACAAATTCATATGTGTGTTGAGCTGAAGTGTCTTTAAAAGCAGTTCTGCTGAAAACACAGCACTGGGCGGTGTGGTGGTGGGTCCAGATGAGCCATCACAGCTGCTCCAGAGGTCAGTCTGTAAGCACAAGAAGCAGAGGTCAAACACACCCTCAGGACAAATGTACTCAACTGTCTCATCAAATTCATCCTGCTCAAAATGAGAGGTGTTATTTTACAAAACAAGTAAGGATTAAACAACGAGGAGCTGCATGTCATGGTGTTCTAGATGCGCGTCAGTGTGTTCAAACAGTGTAATGCACAGCTCTATGTGATTTAATCCACTTACACCATGGTCCTACCAACTGAAAATATTTCACTTTTAAATATGGCAAACTTTCAAGTTCAAAGCATTAGTTATTGCTGTTGTAATTGAAGCTAGTCCCTCAGTAAAAGTAGTTCATTTGTTTACCTGATGCTTTGGTGATGCTGCTGATGTGGTTATTCAAAAATAATGCAAGGCAGTTAATTCTCACAGACTATGGTGTAGTAAGCATTAAACAACGAGAAACTGTGCTGTTGTGTTTACAGATGTAACTGTAACTCTACAATGATTTTTAAAATCTGTTTTTACAAAGATATATACGCCTCACCTGTAGAGGGCAACGTTACATACATAAGATGCTGGACTCCAGGTCGAGAATGTACACTGTAATGTACCCAACACTCTCTGTATTAAATGTTATTGGAGATTTCCTAAGCCGTGTTCAAACCACACGCTAGTGCCGCAAACAAGGCGAACAATTTACATGTTAACCCTATGTAAAAGCATGCTGACGTGCGAATAAAGTTCTACGGTGCGAATGATGTGAGCTGGGCAGCGTGATTTGTGCATTTTGAGCGGCACGAATAGGCGAAATGAGTGCCACAAATTTGTGAAACTGGCGAATTAAGGGAGGGGCTTGTGAAATTTGCCAAAGTTGAACATTTTGAACTTTCTGCGAATATTGGCGTCACATCAACCAATCAGGGGCCGTATTCTGATAGTGACATATAATCATATATCCAGGCATATAATGATGAGACAGATGTGAACATTCATTGAACATGGAGGAGACACTCACTGTTCCCGTGGGGAACAAGTCGATATTATACGATACAAGCACGAGCCAGTACGGCTCGAGCAGGACACCAGTCTGTTTCCCAATCTCCTTTATTCTGGTCCTGGTCTCAGTCCCGGTCTCAGTCCTGCTCTGGTCTTGGTCTCAGTACCGGTCTCGGTCCTGGTCTCAGTCCCGGTCGGGGTTCAGTCTCAGTCCGAGTCTGGTCCCGGTCTCAGTCACAGTCTCAGTCCTGCTCTGGTCCCGGTCTCAGTCCCGGTCTGGTCTCGGACTCTGTACTGGTCTCAGTCCTGGTCTCAGTTGTGTTCTGGTCCTGGACTCAGTCCCGGTCTGGTCTCGGACTCTGTACTGGTCTCAGTCCTGGTCTCAGTTGTGTTCTGGTCCCGGACTCAGTCCCGGTCTGGTCTGCCCACTCGATGTATTACAAGTCCGCTATTTTTCCAAATGAAAACAGCAGATGCAGAGGACACCGCGCAGCCGCAGTTGATCCTTCTGGAGCGAACACAGCGTACAGAGCGGATTTACTCGCGCAAGTTTGGGAATTTGGTTGTGCGAATGAAGCAAATGACTCAAAAAAGTCAAACGGCAAACTGGGGGTGTTTGACACGATTTATTTGCGTCATTCGCATTTGGTCTGAACATGGCTTAAGCCTTCATATTTCCTCTACACCGTCAACATAACAACAACAAGCCGTATTACTGCGCTGCCTTGGCCCAGAGGGACAGTGCCAGTGATGGCCATGCTGGAAAAGCATTTCGTCCGGAAAGTCAATGTCGTAGCCTGTAGACACACATTCAAACAACATCTTCAGCGCTCAGACATGGCTACGGGACCTAGCAGCATTATGTGAGTTTGGACCAGTGGAGCGTGAGATAAGAGATCAGCTGATTTCAAATACACATCTCAGTGTTTTGTGAGATAAACTTTTCCTTGAAAGCCCCCACAGTGCCAGAACAGGCAATCGGACTGTCCCGCTCAACTTTTTGGGGGAAAAGAGATTCATGTCAAGCCAAGTCTAGTACCCATGACCGTAACAAGCAAACTACAATGGTTAACAAACAGCAATGCAAATGCTTCAAACACATCACCACTGACAGAAACTGCCCAGCTGCTTCAGTACAGTGTCCTCTTTTCCCACAGTTTACACAACTGTGGGAAAAGAGGACATTTTGCTAAGGTACGCAGATCAGGCACTAAATCAGTAAACCAAATACAAGAAGGTGTGCTGGCAGCTGCAGCATTTGCTACATCTAGGCCTGTAACGATAAACAGTAAATCAATTAATCGCACAATCACTTTTAACGAGCTTGATAACTTTTCTAGCTGCAATAATTTCTATTTGCATGCTTGTTTGTTTTGTCTCTCTCACTCTCTCTACCACAGAGACTGAATGTCGAAAGGCTCCTGTCACTCCCTACTGACTCCTTTTGTTTCCTTAGCGTAATGATGCTTGGACAAAAGTGTCAATTAGGCTACTTGCTGGCATAGATTGTATAAAAAAGTGGAATAAGCAAGTGTGACGTTCAGTGCCACTCACATGAAGGTCGTGATGCTAATGGTTACAGGGGCGAATTTGGAGCCAGCCTCTGATGAATAGGATTTTTTTGAGGGACAAAATAGGATCATGTAGAGTGGGTTAATATGAACATTTTAAGACCAAAATGAGGAGGCTCACAGCAGTAGGTACAGAGAGAGGGGCCGCGATATCCCAGTGTAAGTCAAAGGGAGCCAGAGTCAAAAGGAGTTGGAAAAGCCCACATGCAAACTTCCAATTTGGAACACAGTGGCTAGCCCGTTAGCTTTGTCCATTTATATATATAGTCTATGCTGCCAGTCGCATGGTCTCGCACCACCACTGAGTTGAGAGCACCACAAGGAGTTTTGGTTGTTTTGGTTCAACAACGCTTTATTCAAGTACAATTTTTGTACCTTGCTGTAAGCCAGACTACATTAGGCTATTCTTATCTAACGAGTCTAAACAACAACAACAACAAACAAGTCTATTTTATTTAGACCTATTGTTTTTGGTTGTTTTGCAGTTCCTGTGTTAAATGTTCTTTAGAAAGTAACGTTTATTGATCTTTGAAAGGGTGTATTTGCATTTTTATTCCATTGGCATTACATTAGTTGAAAACGGTGTCAAAATGTAAATATTATCATTTATCGCAATAATTTCTTGGCAAGCTAAATCTGTTATTGTTACAGGCCTACTCACATACGCTAATAGTGGATACTGGAGCTATCCTTTTCCATTTTACCAGAGGTGTTTTATAAAAACATCTTGCTAACTGCACACTCCAAGAGCCTCAAATCAAATTAGTCAATTATTCCAAGGGTCACTTACCTGTTCTTGGCTGTCTCCACGCAGAAACAACCACAAAACAAAAAAAGACTATGCCAGTAACTTTCTACATCATGAAAGCTGGATCTCCCTTGCTGGGTTTGGACCTGATTAAAGCTCTGGGGTCAGCATCACTGATACTTAATATGGACAATGCAAACACGCCACCTGCTGGTGAGCTTTACACAGTGCACAACATTGACTCAACTCCAGCTCAAACACAAGTGTTTGTCAAAGGATTCATTCACAAAGTACAAATTAAAAACATGTAGGACAGAGGACCTTTTTGCGAAACTGTCTGGTGCTGCTCACTACAGCCATATAGACAGTCAGGCTCAGTGTACAGTTACCTCTACACCCTTACAGTCGCAAACTAATTGCTTTCATAATTCATCACAGCTTATTCTAGTTCATGTGTCTCATTTGGTCTCATATATGCACCATCTGCTTTCCAAAAATGATGGAGATCATATTAATGGACGTGCCAGGTGTACAGACCTCAGTCCTCAAGTGAGGCTGGACTGCAGATCAACTTCAGGTAAAGTGCATGTTATTTCCAAAGACGGCTTGAGCCCGAGCTCGGATCATCTTACTGCTATTGCAGAAGCACCTGCACCACAGGACATGCCAGCACTACACTTGTTCCTGGGACTGAGTTCCTGGTTCAGGCAGTTTATTCCTAACTACGCTACACTAGTGGAACCCCTGCGCCAAAGGCTCAAAACTAGTCCACAAGCAGAATTACACTGGGACAAGGAAGCAAGACAAACACCACAAAACAAACACATGCTCTTGGATAGCCCAGCATTAGCCATTTACAACCCTGAACTACCAAGAGTAATAATAACAGACGGTTTGGACTATGGTTTGGGGGTTGTTAACCCAGACAATATAGAATACATTGTGGCATTTGCATCACGAAAGAAAATATTCCACAACAGAAAAAGAAGCCCTTGCCTGTATGTGGGCTGTCTGGGAGTGCAGAGTCACACTTCATGAACAGATCTTCAGGCTGACAACATTTCTTAACACAAAAGGTATTAGTCCGGTTCCTTATATACTTTTGTGGGAATTTTTTGGGGATTTGCTAACCTATATATTTTTGGAAAGGTTATAGTATATGGAGTCAGAAAATCAATGTTTGCATTTGCCCACATGTCTTTATGGCAGCCATATTGGATTAAAAAAAAAATGTCCGCCAAAAAACCCTTTTTGGAATATCTCATCCTCTGAATAAGTTGAAATGTTGATTTTAACTGCTAAACCCACATTTTCAGGGTCAGGGAATCAAATGGTGCTAGTTACAAACCTGTAAGACCTACCCACATTAACCCTTAGATGAATAACTGGGTCAAAAATGACCCGCTTTGGTTGTTTTCTTGCATTTTCACTGTAATATTCACATGTAATACTCCATGTTCCTCCAAAAACATGTTTTTCTTTTTTTTTCTTTTTTTATTATCCTGCTGAAATATACCAACAATATGGGTAAAACAAATTATAAACATCACATGCAGCTGGTCAGAAAACTCAAAGAGTTTAAAAGTAGCTAACATAAAATTTGGATGTTGGATGTAAACACACATTTAGACACAATATGATATGATAACACAACTTTTTTATGAGACATTTTCTATACATCATTATCATCATCACTTTCATACAACCATAGACTG